TAATTGAGTTTAGGGGGGCTAATTGAGTTTAGGGGGGGTTAATTGAGTTTAGGGGGGTAATTGAGTTTCTTCCGTCAACACAACGGAAAACAATAAAAAAAAAAAGCATTTAATTCTTCAGTTTTGTTTTGTTTTGTTTTTTTCTGCTGAAGGGGGGACTTCAGCCCCCTTTGTCCCCCCTGGATCCGCCCTTGCTAGGGCCAGCAGTAAAACAGTTAAACACTGCTGAGCTGGTCAACACTTGTCATTAGCAAAGTAAATTAATTACTACATCATGAAATCTTAATATTTACAAAACAATATTACACATGGTAAAAAAAATTGTTTGATTGAAGTGACATGTATACCTTATCGCTGTGCAAGTATCCTTGTTACTGACTGGCTGGTTTTTGAGATCTGATGAGTATTCAGCAACAAACCCTTGAGCGGCATATTTAACATCAGATTTGAAGGTTAGAGTCATACACTCATCAATGGAGTAGAAATCAAAAGGTAATGGAGTGATGAGGCCACAAGAGCAGTACTTTCCAATGGATCTTATATTTTGACACCTAGGTGTAAAAAAAACAACAACAAGAAATGATATAATTTAAAGATGAATGTAGCTGAGTAGTGCACTTGACCTCAAGCTGGATTCTTGAGTTCCACATCACTTTAATTTATTATTTCTTTTTCATTCAGCCTTGTTTTTGTTCATATTTCATTTGCAGGCAGCTGGTGCTGCACAATAGGACACAGGGTTCCCATTAAGGTACTCGGCACCAATTTCCAACCCCCTTAAATTCTCTGTACCAATCCCACATAATCAACTAGTATGGTTTTGTTCATGTTCTCAGCAGTTCTTTTAGGTACTCCCCACCTCGTCCCACATCCTCCCCCCCTGAGTCAGGATGAGGTAGTGAGGAGATAGGAGATGGGATTTTCATTTTATATGGCTCCATGCAACAAGACATTCTTTTCTCAATATTTTGGGAGTGAGCATTGCGTGACAACACTAATAGCGGCTGCGTAGGAGACTTCCTTTTTCAGATGACCAGGTTAATGGCGGTCCTATCTCCAGTTTGGGACGTAAAAGAACCACTGAGGACGTAACAAACCCTGGCGGTGACCACCGTCAGTGCCAGCAATGAGGTCAGCCTGGTATAGTGTTCCAAAACTTTACTAGTGAATGAGACGTCCTCACAATTTAATACCCACATTAGTAACCACAGCTAGTATAACAATGGAATGTTGCCGTGTGCTGGATGGATATCAAAACAAAGGGTAAATTACATGCACGCATTCACTGAAAAAAACCCCAATGAATTTCGTACAATGTTTGTTGTCACCTATGGCTGCGTTCATAATTTATGGCAAATGGGGGGAACAGGTGAAAATTTGGAATGTCCAAAAAAAAAATCTTAATTACCCCCCCCCCCCCTTAGAGTCTTGCCAAAAAATATGATCCCCCCTAAGAAAGGCTTGTAGCTTCTTCCAAAAATTGTGCATCCCCCATTTTTCTGAGTTTGCCCATCCCCCCTTTTTTCTACCAAAATTTTCGCGATCCCCCCTCAATTCTACCTGCCCCCCTCTGCCATACATTATGAACGTAGCCTATTGTTTTATCTTGAACGAACTTCAAACATAGTGTTATTAAAAGCAAAATATTGCAATTTTACCCCCCAAAAAATCTTTAAATTTCACTTACCCTAAAGATATTTCCACATAATCTTCAGAACAATTCGGCATGGAACCCAAAATACTAAAATTTTTGAACGATAGCATTGCTCTTCTTCCACTGGGAACTTGTATTCTGTATTCCATTGAAAAATTATTCGGATAAAAACCATTGCTTTCTTTCTCCGAGGAGAACCTTCCACTGATACCATTAAATGTTTTTATAGACGAATGAGCTCCTTCAAGGAGAGAGCAAACGAGAAAGAAGTACAATATGTTGAAGAACAATATCGACATTTTGAAATTGTTTCAGCAAACTTCAGTCTTGTAATGATTTCTGTCCAAAAAAATACGAAAATAAGACCTTCGCTTAAAATTTTGAAGCGAGGAGATTGTTAAGTATTAAATTTAGGTGTTGAGTTTGGAAAATAGTTAAAATTCAGCGTAGAAATGACTAAATAGCTGGAACTTTCAGACATGATGTTTTGAAAAAACCACAAACCGTGAAAAAAAGCCCGCGAGGGTTAAAAGGTCAAACCACAGGGTACCCACTCGGACAAAATGAAACAAAATCTTCGAATTATCCTCATTATTATTTAATTTAAATTGAATAATCTGGAACAATCTTATTAATATTAAAACCAGAAGTTGAAAATATAAGATTTAAAGATATTGATGCTTTATTGTTAGGTTGTTGATAAGTCGTTAGCATCTGTTATATGACTGAGTAGAAAATGGTTTTCAAATGACGCTCCGAGGTCTGAGGTTTTTAGACGGTTTGTCATCCTAAAAAAACTATGGCTATTTTTTTCCCTTCATTATCCAATTTTGTTAGAAAACTATTTATAAGGGCTACTTTATTCGTCGTTATTGTTTCCATCAAAGCCTAGCAGCTTCAGCAATACGAAGAAAATTTCATTGAAAGCCGTTTCAGCTGAGCAGAGGGGTATGGAAAGGTGCCCCAATTATAATCGAAAGCCAGCATCAGCAGGCCTCGTGGCAATTTTTATGATTTGAACATTTTTCGGTGCTTTCATTGAACACAGCTGGAGCCAGAATGCGCAAGTCTTGTGGTAATATTCTTATTTACACCACATGATTACGTAATTCAATATACGAGAACCTTTTCAGTCCTTTGTCTTACTATTCTTTCATTCTTCCTAAACCGCATACCCAGGAGCGTATCTAGAAGAGGACAGACAGACAGACAGACAGACTTTTTTATTCGGTATCGAGTATTAGAATATACATAGACATTTTACCCGAATAAACGTATGAAGGGACACTAGAGCACCCCTGACCCCCCCCCCCTCCCCCCACAAACACACACTTTCCAGCTTGAAAAGTCTATAGTTGGTTTATGTCAAAAGGGGCGTCTTCTACATTTTTTGCCCTCTCACATCTTGTAGCTTGGAATTAGTGGGTTATAGTAATAGGTGCAAAAGTGAAATAGGTGTAAAAGGTGCATCTTCTTGAATTTGTGACCCCCACTACTCAAAATCCTAGATACACCTGCATACCCTGTTATCAGAGGCCTACTCTTTCGTCGTTCTTTATTGAGTCGTTTCGCTTTTCTCTCTTCCATAAGTCGGTCCTAGTTCGCTCTCCGTCGATTTTTTTTTTTTTGTTTGTCCAACAAAGAAATAAAGGAGCGAAAACTACGACTTATGGAATCAGTCTAGCTTTTCTCTAGAATAGCAAAAAATGCAGTAAAACGAAAAGACAAAGCGATTTTAAAGTGAGACAAAGCGCTCCATTTTTGCTCTCAGATATAATTAGTCCAGTCCCAGACCCGTTGTTAGCCCGCTCCGTTGAACGGCTGGTCCCGCGACTAGCCATTCCACGGGGCGGGCTATAAACGGGTCTGGGACTGGACTACGATATAATGCCATAGGCCTCATCAAATCTTCTTTATACGCATTTTCGATGGATGACAAAGCTCAGCGATTGCCTTAGTGTAGAAGCAAGGCTAAAACTCCTCGAAAAGTAAGCGTTTTCAAACAAAAAAACTATTAGCGTAGACGGTACCTTAGGATCGACATTCTCATGGCTTTACATACAAATAACAAACAAAATATAAAACAAATACAAAGCACTAACAAAAAATAATTACTTAATATCATGCTTTAATTGTCTGGAATTAAAAATATATAAATCTTTTTATCAATATTTTACAATTTTATATACAATAATGATAATAAAATTATGATTTCGAATCTTAAATTGTTTTAATAGTCAGAAATGCATCTATTATGATATTACTAGTAAATAAGCCTGAAGCGAGATGACGTTTTACCCCCGTCTCTAGACCATAATCCTTTTCACACTGCTTTTGTTCTTTAATTATGACTATTGTACCTGTATTCTCTAAGGAATCAAAAATTTTAATATGAAAGAATTTTAAAAACTATTATGGTATAGAGTCGGGGGTAAAACGTCATCTCGCTTCAGGCTTATTGCGAAATTATTGCGAAGCCCACACTAACAAATTTCCTTTTAATCAAGGACGTTCCTTCATGTGGGAACATTTGAAGGTATTCTTTTTTAATACTATCTATAAAGCGTTTACACGTGACGTCACTGACAGCGGCCACGTTGGGRTACCAAAACAATACATTCCCTATTTTCCGGGAATTGAACTTTATTTTTTTATGCAAAAACTGTGCAGACAGTTTCTATTGTTTGGTACACCAATATGACTGCCTTGTCACGTGAATTAAAACGCTCTATAGAGGCTTTGCACCATCACGTGACTGCGCCAATAATATAGGTTGAGCTGCCTGTGGTTAGATGGCAGAAAAATTAAAATCCCTTTGCTTGCGGGAATTGAATTCTTTCTCATGTAAAACGATTGTATTCAGTTCCTGCCATCTAGCATAGCTGCCGTCACATGATGGCGCAGAGTCTCTATATTTCTATTTTTGTAGTACTTCGTGCATTACTACCTGAAGCAAAGATCTAACAGTGGTCTTAGCTTGGAGCGCGAGTGTCCAAATAGACCTCGGATCGGGCGTAATGTTTTCCCATTTCAGACCACGTGGCATTTCCTAGAGTATCATTTCTTTAACGGTTGCACTCGGTTGCACATGAGAAGAACATGAATATGGATACAACTCAAACAAAGAATCCTATTCTCAAGAGAATGACACGTGGTCTGAAATGGGACAACATTACGACCGACCCGAGGTCTATGCGAACTAGTTCTAGTTTTAAGGGTACATTATAGAAAATATCAAAACAAAAAGAATCTAGTGTGGCCGCGACCACCATGTGAATGGCCGGCTATGAGGTTGAAAGTCAATATCGCGGTCTAAGCATGCGCAGTGCTTAAAACACATGTTTGAGCATGCGCATTAACAACCATGCAAACACAGCGGCTCAAATATAAATCTCGTTCCCAGTTTTCTTATTTCTTTCCGCGCATGCCAGACGAAATAATGCGTTGTAAGAAATAATGACTAAGGAAAATTGATTGCTTAAATATTTGGAAGGAGGTAATCAAAAAATGATAATTTATATTAATAATAAAAATCAATTAAAATCGTGATTTTGTGAATATTTTTCAGTCATAATATTTTCCCTACTCTGTTGTTCAGGGTTAGCCGACATTTTGGGTAAAATATTAACGCGTGTTTCATTATAATATAGTTAGGATAGCACATGCGCGCTGATTGTTCGAAAACTGTGCTTTATTAGTGAACGGAGCACAGTGCTGATGCCATCCGTGAGCGCGAAGTGATGCTAGATCCTGCTAGATCCTTTATTTTTGCGTAAATAATTTTGATACCGAAATGAAATTAGTAACTAAAAAATAAAACAATAAAATCAGCTTTTTCCATGCTCCGTCCAGTACTAATGTTAAGTAAAGGTCCATAAAACGAAAGTGTTTGTATTGTAGAATTTGTCAATATTTACTTCAATGTAAGTATTTGCACAGGTAGCCCAAGCTTGGTTTCTGTGGTGACATGTTATAAAGAAATGTATTGGAATTCTTCAAAAATTTCAATAAAATCATTGAAACGTGAAGTAAATCCTCGAAATTTTACCCGATCATTGAGAAATAGCACTTCTTTCGCTCTGCGTGGTTATTTTTTTAATTTAGCCCGTTTTAAGGATTTTTCAAAAAATAACCACACAGAGCGAAAGAAGTGCTATTTCTCAATGATCGGGTAAAATTTCGAGGCTTTATTTCACGTTTCAATGATTTTATTGAAATTTTTGATTTTTGGGCTGCCTGTGGTATTTGTGAATATTTTGACCCTCAGAATGAGGCTAACCCTAAGTAAACGAGTCCGCAATCAAAGAACACAGCGGTATATCATGCGAATTTTACATATTTATGTAAATTCTGTCTAATCCCTACCTTTTGAAGCCCTTGCTTTACACAATGCATGCATTCAATATAAAATAGAAGTTCAATTCATAGTAAAACGTATTCTTCAGTAGCCGGACTTCGACTCAACATTTTGTGGTCATGATCAGTTTCTGGTGGATATTTGTGATCGGTGAAACTTTCGGAGTATCTCACCGCTCGTACGGAGGCTTCTGGCGCCATTGGAGTTCTTTTATCGGCAAAAATAAACATTGGGTAGTCTCCTTTTTGCATTGGTGGCTTTAATATCTGTAACGTGAAAATTTGGTGTGAGCAACCTGGAAAGCAAGCGTGAAATTGCACCGTGTGTTCAACTCTAAGACTGCTGCGGGCGACGTTGCGCGCAAAAATTGAAGAAGACTATACACACTTTGAGTTAATCGTTAGTTATATCTTAGTTATCCCATAAAAGAGATAGAAAACTCCCCTTCCTTGTGCTACGTTGAGTTATACAAGCACTTGGAAAATTGCGTGAGCCCTCGAGAAGTGCCGAGTCCTAGCACTTGTCTCTGACTCACGCAATTTTCCGCGTGTTCCGCGTATCTCTTCAATATAAAACGGCTGCTTATGTCTCTGTACTGTGATATAAACACTCTGGCAGCTGTAGAGCACTTGAGAAGCAAGAGAAACACTTGGCTACGCCTCGTGTTACCAAGCTTTCTTTTCTCGTGCTCTACAGCTGCCAGTGTGTTTATATCATTTTATATTCCTTAAATATATATGTGATCTTACCTCAGAAGCATGAGCACAAAACGACTCAAAATCTTTCTTTGAACTGCAATAAAATCCAATAGTACAGGAGGGATCCATCTTCTTGATGGACATTTTACGAGGGTGCGGGCAGTGGAATGACTGTAAAATAATGAAGAAAAAACCACATTACATTTAGATGTAAGGCACGTTGTGGTTTCTTAAAGCTGCCGATACATGCTGCAATTTTTTCTTGTGCTGTGGGATTGAAATTTTTTAGAATTTTATTTAACCATTTTTTTTTTTTTGTAAATCTTTGTTGCTTTTTAATTGTTTTTTTAGTTTATTTAGTTATTGCATCGAGAGTGAGAGAGCGCAAGGGAGTTTGCATTATGTTTCCAAATGACATCGGAACCACTAACTCCACAGGGAGCCCGGCTTTGGAATCTGTACATGAATAAATAAATTAATAAAGTGCTTTGGGTTTCCTGTGTTGATATTTGAAACAAGACGCCAATGATAAATAAGTCAATAAAGCACTTTGGGTTTCCTGTGTTGAGATAAACCATTTACTAGGACGTGCGTTACTATACGTTACGTTAATCTGCTATCAAGTTACTGGTAGTACGATTACCGGAAATTCAACGTATCAGCGTCTTGTTTCAAATCTCAACTTAGGAAATCCAAAGCACTTTATTAATTTATTTAGTACAAATCCCATAAATATATATATATATAAATGGAAGTGCAGTTAGCCAGTACTGGTTTCCATATTAATTTTTGACGTTTGGTTCCTATTGTCATGTACACCAACACAGCTGGCCTCGCGTGGTGATTATATTTTCAATCAAAAATCAAGAAATACCTCTGATGCAAAATCCTTTTGTTTCATATCTACGAAGGGCTGACAGTAATGAGGATCCAAGTGAATCATTTTGTCCTCTGAAAGAAAAATAAAGATTGGATGAAATAGCAGGGATAGGGGGAGCCCAAAAAATTATTTTGAAATAAATAAAAAAATAAAAAAATAGTCCACAAAACTGGAAACTCTGATGAGCATGGAGGGTCTGTAGATTTGTGGGGTAGAAAGGTAAACCTTCATTTTATGGGTCAATATATATTAAGTCATACAAATATGGTTTTGAGTGAGTGTGTCTACTTCAAAAATAGCAGCAGAATTGGTAGAATACAGTGTACACCACAGAATACATATAAAATGATATTTTGATAGGATATATTTTTAAAAGCAAATAAGATATTCCAAGTCTTGAGCCAACCTGATCTGGTAGCACAATGTCAACAATGTCACAATGTCAGCAAAGACAAACACCAGTATTAAAAAAATTATAAGGAAAAAAAAAGATAAAAAACAACAAATCAGATCAAAAACCCTATGAATGCATAGAAGCTTACAACTGGGATTATACACTGTCTTTAATATTCATGTCAGAAACAGGAGAGGCCAAGTTAAGGCAAAAGTAACGTGAAATAAAATACCTTGAAATCCTACAAAGTACAAAGAATGCTTTGGTCGTCCTCCAATAATACCAATACACTGATCCAAAGTGAACAGGGCCTGAAATTATATCATTCATGTTAGGCAAAGTATCCTTTGCAAGTTTGCTACTGAAGAACCAAAGTGGCAAAACTCAGCCACTTGGGGGGAAGGGGAGGGGGTGAAAATTCTTCCTTCTAAGATACACATTTTCATGTTATGTAATTTATATTTATGGGCAACTGAAGAAAATTAATTTTTTTTGTAAAAATTAATCAATATTGTTTATGCAGTGTCAGGATGACAGAATAAAGGAATGATTAATGCATTGGGCTGACAGGAGTTCCTGTAGTTAGTAGCATGTGAGCTGGGCCTCACTTGTCCACATTTCCATTCCATATGATGCACGATTGTGACATCGGTAGAAAATGCTATTGGATTTTTGAAGTTGATTTATGTGGAGGGAGGAAAACTAGAGAACCCAGAGAAAAATCCCCCAAACTCCCTACAGTCCTCTACAACTACTGTAGGTTTTGGTGCTCAATTTTGTTGCTCAAACACATCCATGGTGTTGTCATGTAACACTCCGTAAAAACTAAAAAAAACTGCATAGTAGACTATTCCCTACTAGCAGAGTCTCTCTTCTCTTTCTCTCCCTTCTTTCAGGCGGGGAGGAAGGAGACTCTGCCGATGTAGAGCGTTTCCTTTGATACACCGCTGTCCACGATTGTGGACGAACAAAACCAGTTTTAAAACCGGTTTTTAACCAATTACATGTAGTGCACATGAGCAAATGTAACACACCGTGGCGCCAAACATTGTATGACGAGAGCGGCTGTCAAAATCATGACAGCGTTGCTAAGTTACGCCACGCATGCGCGACAGAAATAACGTCCTACATCGGCAGAGTCTATTTTTCTGTCTCAACCAAAACAAAAGGAAAATAGGCTCTGCTAGCAGGGAAAGTAGACTACAAGAGAACTTACGTTTTTGAAATAAATGAAGGTGTGTGAAGTAGAAGTTTCCTTACCTTAACACATGGAATATAAATCGAATTCATAGCTTCTCCACCTAATCTGACTGGAACAAGAATAATAACAGACTGCCATTCACCATTACGATTACATTTGCCCTGATGCATCCTGCAGTTTGTACATACATATTCTACTTCTTCTTTATATACTGAAAGAAAGGAGTAAAACAAGAATCATCAACGAACTTTGTTTTCTCTCTCAGTATTGACTCATAAATTCCTTTCAAGGGTTCAAGATCAATTCTTGGGGTGCAACTATATGGCTCAAATTAAAATCCCTTGAGATATAAATAACAATGAAACCGCAGCCAAGTTAGTGTTCCAACAAGGAAAGCTAGGGAAGATGAATGAAGTACTGTAGGTTTTGTATTATCGTCAACCATCATTGTGTAATTCTAGAACATATCTGGTAGGAAATATGAAGGAAATTGGAGACAAGGGGGTTCAGAGAAAGAACGAAATTACAGAGTTTGTATGGAAGAAAATTGGAAGTTCCTGGAGGTACTGTAGGTGGGTCCTTTTACAAATTCACTCTTTGGTGGGGTATTGGATATTTTCTGAAACTTTCAGATTCAAGCTATGACTTAACATGATTAACCCAAGAATATAGCTGTTTCCATAGTAACCTACCTGTGCAGTCCTGAGCAACATAAATGTTGATATCGTGAAGAAGTGGATGGGTAGCAGTATCCATTGCTTTTCTAAAACATCAACGTCAATGTTAGCATGCACACTTTACAAACCTAACGAGCTAATTCCCAATTCAATTTCTGAGTTGGCCGTGCCCTGACTTTGATCAGCCCAGAGGTTGTCTCAGGGTTTGATCTGTGAGTTAGCTGTGCCTTAACTTAGATCGACCTAGAGGTTGTTTCAGGGGTCAATCTGTGAGTTAGCCATGCCCTGACTTAGATCAGCCCAGANGTTGTTTCAGGGTTTGATTTTTGAGTTAGCCATGCCCTGACTTAGATCAGCCCAGAGGTTGTTTCAGGGTTTGATTTTTGAGTTAGCCATGCCCTTACTAGATTGATCAGCCGAGAGATTGCTTCAGGGTATCAACAAATTTTAAGTTTTTATATGAACACTTTTTAATTCTTACTTCAAAATATGAGCCACAGATGAAGGGCCATACCAGTCTCCAGCCTGCTTGCCAGCATGTTGACCAAACAGAACCAGACGATGAAGGGAAAAGGGACTTCTTTCCTCGTCATCATGATCACCAAAGAATCGCAAGATCTGTAGAACATGTACAGTAAATTTATGTTTTAATGCAACTTCTGATTTGAGATGAAGATGATAACGATAGTAACATAGACTGACTAGAGACGATGCTATCATAAAGGCAAAGTGTATCTGTATTTCAACTTTCAGGTATGGAAAATGTATTTCAAAAATGTACATCCCATTCAACGTAGTATTGCGATTCACTAAATAGTTTTTTATATTTTTGAGACGACAATATTTTGTGGTATTGTTGTTTCAAAATTAAGGATTCTGATTGGTAAACGCCCAGTGAAAAGGAAAGCTTGAGCGAACGCACGTCAAATTTTTACGCTTGTTGGTTGCGCCATAGCCCATGCATGTAAGGAGAATTTCGCTTTTAATCAACAAAAATTGGTCAGTTTTTTTTCTTTCTCCCATGTTAAATTCTTTAGAATCGCAATACAAAACTAATTACGATTTTGAGACGACAATACCCCGAAAATATTGATGGCTAGTTGGGAGAAGATATATTTGGTATTGCGCTAAGTCGCGAAGCAGCTCTAGCTGTCAATTATTCACGACTCCACCCAATACCGAATATATTTTCTTCAAACTAGCCGTCAATATTTTGGGATATTGTCGTCTCATAATCATAATTTAGTTTATAATATTTTAGTAGTGGCCTTCATTTCTAGCCCTGCATTAAAACATACATTTCTGTAGTAGTGATCTTGTTCTGTTGAATTGCATCGTCCAGTTACTCTCCAGTCTGCAAAAGAATTTCAAATAGGAACAGCAGGAACTAAGAATCATTAAGTAACGAAATATCACAAATAATCAATCTGCTCTCTCTATCTATTTGACCCGCATTTAAGAACAAAACAAAACTAGAAAGTAATAAAACCAGATTGAGCAGTGTTGACATGTGAAGCATAAAGGATGAGAATGATAAAATTCTCCAGTTTCAAGTTCTCTGTTCTCAGAGTTAACCACAGCTTTGTGTAGCTTTGTGACTGACCGGTGATGACCAGTGACTGACCAGTGATGACCAGTGACTGACTATTGATGACCAGTGACTGGCCAGTGATGACCAACTAGTGACTGACTGGCGATGACCAGTGACTGACCAGTGTTGACCAGTGACTGACCAGTGATGACCAGTGACTAACCAGTGGTGACCAGTGACTGGCCAGTGATGACCAGTGACTGGCAGGTGATGACCAGTGGCTGGCCAGTGACTGCCCAGTGACTGTCCAGTGATGACAAGTGACTGACCGGCTATTGTCTTAAGTCCCATATTATTATACCTTTTTTAAGAAAATGAAATATTAGTCCTGATGCTAGCATCATTTGTCCACTTCTCAGCATACAACCCCACCCACAGTCTGACGTCAAGGTTGAACCATTCAGCTGGGTGAACTCCCTTCTGTATGTAAGCCATATTAGAGACATAAAGTGTTGCTTAAACTCATCCATACTCAGGATTTTACATCGTTCTTTTGTCTCTGAAGTGCAAAATTCTGTAAAATTAATATAAACAATTTTTAGATCGAGTGTCATTCTCTTGAGTATTATTGCTTTATATATTAGTAATGCTTGAGATGCAATACCAAATCGTGATACCAATGCAGTAAACACAATACTCATGCAATGACAATAGAGTTTATCAGTTGGCTAAGCACCTGATACGGCAGTGCATTTTTACGAGTCACGGAGTATTTTTGCAAGCCTTTAGGCAAGCAATAATACAAGTGACGAGTAAAAATGGACAGCTGTATCAGATGCTTAGCCAACTGATAAGGTGTTTGTTATTTAATTCTGCAAACAAATGCTCAAACTCCTTCTAAACTGTATGGTACCCAATCGCAAGCAGATGACAAGTGCTTATACCGTCTCGTATCAGGCATGGTCTTTTCCAATATTACACACGTTCTAAAAGTTGCAGAATTAAATGATAAGTGATACTACTGTTGCAATACATGCAATATGCCAATGCAATACTGATAAAGTGATACTGGTGCAAGACATGCAATGTCAGTGCAATATTTATATGTGTTGTAAACCAACTTGTGATACTGATGCAAATTATACAAAAATCCAATACCTAAGCTATAGCAATATACAATACCGATCAATGCAATACAAAATGCAATACCTGTATGATTACACAAAATGCAATCATATCAATATAAATTGATATCAATGGAAAACAAAATGTAATACTCCTGCAAATTCAATATATATTGCATTATCCATGCATATTCCGATGAAGCAACTTGACAAATTGTAACGTATATTAAATGCAGCTGCTCGCATTACCATCAGAGCAAAGAAATTTCAACACATAACACCTATACTCAATCGTCTTCATTAGTTGAACGTTGCCAAAAGAATTGAATTTAAGCTTTTAACGGTCACATACAAAGCTATAAACGGTATCGCTCCAACCTATATAAGTGATATTCTCAAAATACAACAACCTACTCGTAAGCTAAGGAGTGCCACACAAGGAGTAATTTTAAAACAACCTCCATATCGTACTAAGTCATATGGTGTGCGTAGCTTTGCCGTAGCAGTGCCCAGACTAAGGAACCGTTTACCACCAGATATAAAAACATCGCAGTCTTTGGAAATATTCAAGAGAAAACTAAAAACATTTTTGTTCAATTTGTAACTTTAATCTATTTTTTCACTTAACATTTCATTGTAATATTTGTAAAGCGCATTGAGAGTCTATAATG